GTGCTGACTTGGCAGGTAAACTACAGCAGTAGAGATCAGATCAGAGCCGCTCTGCTTTTGGTTGCCAGTAGTCACCGGCGATGAAATAACATCACTTCGCCTAAGCATCGGGAGCAGCAGAGCTGAGATGACCTTGAAGCGACTTCTGTCGGCTTCTGTCAGCTCCAACACTGCTATCAAACCCTTTGTCAAATCATGTCAAACAGAGAGCCTTGAAGCTGTGCACTCTTGTGTAGCTTTATTTAGCTGAGGGCAGAGATAGTGTTTGTTTTGCTTTGCTTTGCTTTTTTTCTCTTTAAATATATAAATTGGTGCCTTGCATGCAAGATAAGCCAAGCTCTGTCTGAGATTGATATCAGCTTTGTTACCCTCTCCTCCTTTTGGTTTTCTCATCCTAGCTGCAAGCGAGCCCCTTTGTACCCATTGCCCCCTTGTGCCTTGTGACTTGGCTCATGCTGCTATAGCAAATCTGGGGCATGTTTACACTCAGTGTTCTGGCAGGCGTATACCTACCAAGCAGCCAATCAGTCACCCCACCTTAAAATCTCCCATTAAACCTTTTGAAAAAAAATTTATCCTGTGCCATTTTTTTTCCCCCCCCCCCCCCCTAAATGTGATTCCTGCCAAAGTGCTACCATGAATAGTATTTCTCAGTAACATTACGTCTGCAAGCTGGCACCCTGAGGATATCTTAGTTACCTCGATGGTGAGTAAGCACCCACTGAACTTGCGCAGCTGTGATGTGAATAAAGGGATTCAGAGGAAAGTAAATCCTACTGTATTCCTTTTGTTTTTCTCAAGGTCTGGGTTCCTGTTAAAAGGACAGATGAACCTTTTTTTAGAACTGTACTTCTGAAAGTTTATTTCTGAAAGTTGCATGAGCAGATTGATTTTTCTCATGTGTGCATTATAAATATGACCTTCAGCCAGCTGCAGCACCACTTGGCTTACCACATAAAGGCTGTAAACAAGGAAATAAAAGGTAATGGGCTGTATACAAAAAACGGACATATGTTGTGACCTCCACCAACTGGTGTGTGCTCTGCTGAAGCCTTGAGTTTATGTTACCATGCATTTTTTTTTTTTTCTTTAAGCCAGAAGTCACGTTTGAGTTAGAGGTAATCATGAAGTTATGAGCGAACACTGGCTAGCTTAGTTAGAAAAGTGCTTCCACAGACGTATGCATTAGTGCTAAGTAACTTAATTACATTTAACTACACAGTAAACGATGATTTTTGTCTGATGCTTACACTGAAAAAGCGCAAAGTCACACACATCAAAAAAGGTCACCTCCTAGTTTCTCCTAGTCCTAGAAACCCATCAAAGTAACAGACAGCTAACGACTAGCACCACCCGTGGTGGTAGGTCAAAGCAGGCCAGCATATTTAAATCCTGGCAGACCAATGGGCTTTTGAAGCCAACTCAGAAGTGCCTGAAATCCATTAGCCAATGAGGAACACGGTCAGACGCACCCCTCCTTGTGACATCCACTTTCTTGCAACCACAATGATGACATTAGAAACAGCATCTCAAGGGTTCAAAATTGGACTATAGAAATCAGAGGTGATGTCTCAATAGCTATGTATATAATATAGGTATGTTTGGGGGGGGCTATGCTCCAGTACTACTTGCCTTTTCAGCTTTTCCTCCAAGCAGACAAGCACTTATTGAAACCAGTAAATACTGCTCACATTGCAACATTCACATACACACATCGCATTTTAGGCTCGGTTGTGCACACTGGAATTCATATCTATAGGCTTGTATACATATTAGAATATATTAAAGCCCCTCCATAAACATATTTAATATATGAAAAATAGGAGGATATGCATTTGCATTGGCTGGCTTACAAATCTCTTCTTAAATTCATGACGTATGTAGCCACTCATTGTGTGCGCACAGAATTAGTTTGATTCCCTGACTCTCAAGCAAACAGTTCCGTAATCACAAAGCATCTGTTTGCTGAAATCCTCTGTGATCTGATTTCTTCCTGCCATCTCTAACTCCAGTGAAATGAAGAAAATCACAGTGAATAAATACATTTAATACGCTTGCAAAATTGAATTCCACATAATTAATAACTGGGAGGTGATTAAGTCTCAGTGGAGACGAGACATCGGGCTCTTGGATGCTGTGTTAGTGCTGCATGCAGACCTTGTTCTGCACTCTCCATAACCATGGAGAATTCAAGCAAATCACCTTATTTGACTTCCATGTTGGAATTCAGAGAACCTGCTAACTAATTCAGCATGTTAACACCAGGAATAAAACAGTTATATTGCTGGTAGGTAGGTGTGATGTGATGACCATTGGCAGAGGTTGATGGCCTCACTTGGTGACAGCCAGCTGATTAAACAAGCGAGTGATGAATGGAACTGGAGCCTGGCTGTGAAATGACCTGCAGTTGCTGCTGCTGTCTGTGGATGCCCGGTGTTCTGCTGCAATCATGTCAAAACACACAAGCGATCTACTGCATCGTAAACTTCAGAAATCTCCCTCAAAAACCAGCCTCTGAAGGGAGGAGCTTTGGTTTTTCTTTCTGAAATCCCTGCAGCTTGACACAACTCTGACATTTGTTACTACTTGACCTTATGCTCTTATCAGAAATCCATCTCAAAGTGCTTTGAAAATAAGCTCTCTTTCCTCCGTCTGCATGTTTCTTCATAGTTCAACATCTCAATCCAGTCTTCCTAGTTACCACAACTCCCACTCAGTACCCCAACCTCAAACCCAACCTCCTGCTAAGTTGCCTCATCCTGCTTCCAGAGTAAAAGTTTCATGACTTTGCCCTCCCCCTTGCTCATTATTCCATTGTCTGTCTAAGAGATTGTCACTGTGATTTATGTCAGGGAGTTTTAATATGCGGTGGAAAGGCTGTTTTTTGGTTCTAGTGAATGTCCAAAACCCAGGGGAATCCTGACAATCGCAATCTATGATATGTCCCCCTGTTGAGAGGAGACATTGCACTCCTTTGTCTGCAGGGTCTGCTGGGACTGAGTGTACCTCACTTTATGAGCATTTAAGGATATTTTAGCACATTTAATTTACCCTGAAATAAAACCAGTTTTTCGTTCTCTTTACAGGAAAAATTCAATTTCTTCCTGTCCAGAAGGACACCTGCATGACTATAGGAAATATGCTTTTATTATTATAATTATTTTGTATCCCCTCCCCATAATTTTAATGATGGGACCCTGGTCTCCATTGACTCCAGATGTCACAATGTTTTCAACAGAACGAGCACTGTAACAGCAGAAAGAGCCTAAACATTGATTGTGGACAAGATGTGGCTTGTGCAGCTGGCTTTCACTCCACACAAGGGGAAGACCATCATCTGCCAAAGTGCCTTGAGTGTTAGATGAACCATTTGTTTGTGAGCATATTGAAAAGTTTAAGTCATGGGTTGTAGGGTTGTAAACATTTATTGCAGCTTTATCAGCTCCATTTGCATTATGGGCCAATGCACCACCTGGTAGTGTTGAGGGGAAAACTTCTTGCTGGTGTCCTTTTTTTTTTTTTTTTTTTTTCTGTCAGAAGTGTCTAAATTTGAATCCAGCTTACTGGAAATACATGTGGAAAAGGCTGTAAATGGTTTAACTGCAGCAAATATTAGTGTTTACGACCTCAGATTCGAGCCAGTAATCTTATTTGGACAAGCAAATGGAGTCCGTGACCTCCAGTGTTTTGGCTTGCAAAGGACACAGAGTGTGTTTTAATATGTTTGGAACGGGAGGCAAGAGATAAACATTTACAAAGATGGTCAAAAGCTGCAAAGAGTGGGATGCGTGTAGGCAGAGAATGCACTGATCTTATATTACACGCACTTGGTCAGCTTTTCTGAGCTGAGAAAACGAATGTCAAATATGACGCAATAACATTCATCTACAAAAAGATGGGCCCCACTTGATTGTGATTTGTCCAAACCCTGAAAGTCTTGAATAAAACGCTTTATTGGGTTTTGTTTTGCTTTTATATTTGGTCTGTTTGAAGTGTATTATACGGTTAGTCCAAGCGAAAAGTGACCAATTGTCAGACCTCCCGCTGCCTATAAAAGCTGTCTCCAAAAATGAATCCAATCCTCTTCACAGTAGAAAGCAGTAAAAAGCTTCTGATGCCACTATTGAGAACACTGAGTCCTCTGTGATGCTAAGGGAAATGTTATAAAAGGAGCAATGTGTACATCAAGTCTGTATTTAATCAGAAGAATCATTTGAAGCTGCAGGAAATCGAGCAATGTGGGGAAAAAGTAGCTCATTTGACTTCTGGCCCACTGCTTAAGAGATCTTTTTGAAGAAGCTGCAGAATCAGGGAGATTTAGATTAGTGTTGAGCAAAGGAAGCTTTTACCCTGCTGCCAGTAATGATTCGAACGAAAAGGGGGTCGGCCAGCACAGAGAAGCGTAGACGTGGCTCAGTGGTGTGTGTCTTCTCATGGAGAAGCTGGTGGCTGCGACTAAAGAAGCGAAGAAGACGGCCGCCTCCAAGAGTGAGGCTCAAGGAAGACGGGTTTGATAAAAGTTCACGTTGTGTGTCATAAAATTAATTTGACTGAATCTCGCAAGCAAGTGTTGGCTGTAGTTTTGGTTTGTGGTTCTTTATGTAACCTTGAGATTCTCAGTTTTTTGGAGTGCTAAAACAGAAGTTCCTGTCAGCTTAAGGAACAGTTGTCTTCTGCTCATCTCAGGTTGGAATTTGAATGTCAGAGGCCTGCAGAAAAGCGGGATACAAGTCATGGTGTTCTGCAGAGGTTGACTGACAGTTCTGGGTTAAACAGGTGTCCATGATTAAGTGCTACTGAGTGCATGGACTTAAAAGCCCCCCTCCTTAAAATAAAATCAGATCAGTCATTTTTTTTTCTGTGGTTTAAGCATCAGGACATGTTGTGTACTAATCTGTTCGTGTGTGTGTGTGTGTGTCTGTGTGTTGTGTGTGTGTGTGTGTGTGTGTGTGTGTGTGTATCTGTGTGTGTGTGTGTGTGTGTGTGTCGTCTTTTTCCAGATGCGAAGGAAAGATCAGCTAAGAGGTTCTCGGTAAACGGCGTCTTTAATTACACCTCTCTGCTGCTCAGCCAGGAAGACGACATGCTGTATGTGGGAGCCAGGGAGGCACTGTTCGCCCTCAGCCTCTCAGACATCAGCAAAATCAAGCTGCAGAAGAACGTGAGTGTAACAAAATGCCAAATGCCTCATTCGAGTCCAAATTGCATGTTTAAAACATGAATTGCTGGTTCACCAGGCTCGCACATGTGTCAAACTTTGCTGGTAGATAGTTCAGGGAGAATATCTAAAGCTCTGAATTACCACTTTATGGACTTGTCATTAATTTGAGCTGTAGGCCGATGGTGTTAAATAAATAAATCCTGGCAATTTTCACCATATTTTTTAATATAGTCAAGAGAGTAGATAAAGTTAAATTAAAGTTTTAAAAAAAGTGTGGAAACACCTGCTCAGTCTCTTTACTATTTGGACTTCTGTTGCTATGAATCGGTGACTTTTCTCAGAGCAGCGACGCTCACAGTTTAGGCGACTGCAGCGAGTCATAAAAACTTTGAGCGCAAACATAAACAGTTATGGTGATGTGCAGACGTCACAGTTTGTGCGAGCAGTGGCCGATGCATCAGACACAAGCACAGCTATATGCACACATTTGAGTTTCTGTTTTGTTTGATCTGCCACAGTTATTGTTTGACAGTGGGTGCCATTAAGGGAGTACGTCTTGTCGTTAGTCCTTAACCAGTCAGCGTACAATAACAGAACTCTTTTATAGACAAAGTCGACCTCTCTCTAAGAGTAGATGAAATGATGTCACTAGTGTTTTCATTTGGATTTCAGCATAAAATCAAACTCTTCTCTAAAATCAGGTAAAAATAATATTTTAGCAACCAATCGAGGACTATCTTAAAAGCACTCCGTGCATATCGAAGCCCATTTTAGTACAGTGGAAGTGGATATGCTCTCTATAGATTGGCTCTGAATCTGTGGGTTTCCACTATCTATCACATGACTTATTCAGGGTTTCTTTCTCTGCTTCAGCTGACATGGGGCACTCCTGCTGGAAAAAGAGACGAGTGTAGCTTCAAAGGGAAGAACCTGGAGGTGAGAGACATTTTCTTCTGTTTGTTTGAGCAGTGTTGTAAGGGGGGAGAAATTACGGTGGAGCTGTGTGTTGACAAACCTTTCCATCAGTTACAAATGGATTCATCAAGTGTGCAGGCTCACTGGGGAATTGCTCTTTCTTCTTCTTCTGTCTGTCTCTTACCTTGTTGTCATGCCAGCTGTTGTATCTCTGGGCGACAAGCCTCAGTAATCTGTGTAAATCTCTGGTTTGTGTAATACAAAAAACTCACCAGGCAAAGTGCTGTGTGTGAGGTTTTCCCAGCAGTATTTGAGGAGAGGAGGAATATTTTTCTGTTTCTGTCGAATAATATTTACATTTCCTGCTCTGAAAGATTTGCTTATGATTAGGAGTATTATAGGCAGATTTTTAAGGGGCTCTCGAGAAGATCACATTCAATTCTCAGAATTTCTTGTGATTTTTATGGACCTGACACGCTCTCCATTTGTTCTCTCCAGACTGATTGCTTCAATTACGTCAAAATTCTTCTGCGGCTGAATAGCACTCATCTCTATGTGTGTGGCACCTATGCCTTCAGTCCTGTCTGCGCCTACATAGTAAGTAATGACCTCTCAATCTACCCATTGTTCACCTGCAAGACTTGATTTTCTCCCATCATTAAAGCGAGTCTTAATTTATTCCATTCCTCTCCTCTCACAAAAACAGGATTGAATTTTATAAATATTTTTTTCGGGGTACTCTTTAGGAATCAAGCCCCCTTTATCCACCATGTCAGTATTGGATCTGTTGTTATCCAAGCGTTACCAAATCCTGTTGAGGCACTTGAGCCAGACAAGTCAACAGGGGGTACACGAGCTGTGTGGTTTCCAGATAGAGGGGAAGCAGTAGGTCTGTTTATCTAGCAGAGGAGTACATTTTGGAGTGATGGCAACCGGCAGTAGAGTTTGGCAACAGCGCAGCTTCTCAAAGCAGGGCATTAAACTCTGCCCTTTGACGTCAGAGTCTCAGACTGAGGATCGCTTGGCAGGACGTTAGGCCCTGATCTGGGATTCCAAGCAAGTCTGAGTTGGTCTGGGTGAACACTCGTCTTGTTGACGGAGTCCACAACTCTGTGTGTCACCCAGGGCATTCCTCGCGGCCAGACGATCTGAGATGTATAGTATTACTAGTGAGGGATGTTTTATTTATTTATTGTTTTACCACTTCTCACAGAACGTTTTATGGTCAGCCAAAAAGATACAGTAACAATCAAATGAAAGACACAAGTTTAAACAAGCTTAAGATTAAAACAACATCTAATAATAAAGAAGCATGGGAATATTTCTCAGCAACAGAGGAACTCCGTGCTGTCCTTTTTGATTAAAGTTAATATCATCACTGCAAATTGTCTTTATATATTATTTATGTGTCCTGTGACAATGCTCCTATTCCCATGTGTGCGTTAAATGCTTTAACGATAGATGTAATTGTTCTTGCTGTGTGGCAGCAGAGGAATCTCTTTTTTAAAACTATATAAATGAAGTGATGGGAATGGAAAATCTTCCATCCTCTTCCTGTGTAAAAATGTATTACAAAGTTAAGCTCAAGCTTTTGCAGCCTTAAGACCTCAGAGTGCTCGAGGCTCTAAAACTGTTCACAATGAAGACCTCATGAGAAGCTCACTTTGATTAGCCAGACCAGTGTGTAGCAGTGGAAACTGCAATTGCTCTCCATATATGTATTCTGTGATTCAGTGTCCTCATACCCTCTGTCAGCTTTATCAAACAGGACTAGAAGCTCAGACAAACAAGGCCGAATGCTGTTTGACGGACCAGCTACATTTAGATTTAGTGCATAAACTTATGCCACGCGCTCTTGATACAAGTCTGAGGCTATTCAGTGTTTTATCGACATGTCTTCCAAATGCATGTGCAAGTGTTGGACGCAATTCTAATGCTTCAAATGAAAGCGTCACGATGCACGCTTTCTGATTAGCCAACATGCTGTCACTTTTTCCCTTACACAGAGCAGAACACAGTGTGTAGCAGTGGAAATGTCAATTGTCCTCCATATATTTTCTTGTAATTCACTGTTCTCGCTCCCTTTGTCAGGCTTTTGAAAAGGCACCGGCTAAAGCCTGATAGACTGACTGCATTTTGATTCAGTGCAGTGTCTATCACCCACAGCAAAAGTTGTCCATTTTGATGAGTTATTCAGTTTTGTGGACCTCATGGGCTATTGGAATTTGACATGTCCAATCACTGAAAGTCACTTCCTAACAGGACAACATGATGACATCTTATTTAACTTGTAAAAGCATCCACGGTCTCGCTGGCTGCAGAAGTTTTTAATATCCATGCACTGGGAACAGAGTCTGACCAGTATGTTTTTCATACCAAACCATTCTTTGATAAGGCCTCAGTCAAATAAGCCTGAAGGCCAGTGTGAGTGCCCAACTGCCAAGGGGAAGGGGAACATTCTCCATTCATGGTTTGCATTGAATTTTTTTCGAGTTTCACTAGTACTCGAGAAATGTTTGCAGGCAAGTCCATTCAAATTAAGGACGACTGCAACAACCTGCTAGCAGCCAAAGCAATCTTAAGCAGTTTTTTGGTAAACAATTTTAGCTTGCAATTGGCAGCAGCTTCCAGAAAACCACTCACCAACCAGTCAGGAATACAGATTTTTCTCCAGTGACCTGTGACTGGAAGAAGATCTTTGATGAGTTTCTAGACTTATTTGACTGAGGGTTTTAAAGAAATGTCTGTGGAAACTCAAAATGGGACTAAAAATACTGAAACATTTAAAGATACAGGCTTGTTTTGTTGAAGTCAGACTTCAGTGGAAGTTCAGTAACTGTTTCACGTGTGTATTATTTATGTTTCTCTAAGAGGTTGGAAAGAAAAGCAACTGGACTTGTTGGAGTTTCTTGAGGGTTTCACCTCTCCTCCGAGAAGCTTCTTCATATTATTTATGGTTTTGTTTTTGTATTAAGTATTCAAGTATTTTTGGGAGAGACTGTGAAATTAAAATCAGAAATGATGAGAAATACTGGAAGATGGATAAATAAAGTATATTTCTACAATAAATGAATCGTTTGTGTTTGAGTCAAAATGATTTTCTGCCTTTGCTATCTCTGGCACACGGCTCTAAATTCACGTGTACCTGCTTATGATGTAAATCAAAATTTTATGTTGTTTTTTGTTTGTTTGTTTTTAAAGCAAAATTTGCCAGAATAGCTGGTCACTGCAGAATTTGGAAAAGCATGCCTCTCGACCCATGTCGGAAATGTTTCAGTGAATATTTGGAGCAAGGGATTGGCGAATATTTATGGAAGTAGAGCTGAGGATAAAGTATGGTAGCCGTGTTCACAGTAATGAAGGCAAAGTGCAGCTCAGTGATGTTTTTTTTAGACAACAGCTCAACAGCAATAAAATGTCAGCACTCTGCTACAAAGGTTAATCTTTTGGTAAGATGCCTTTATTGTCCAGTTTTGTGACATTTTTGATTTACTGTCTCTTTCTTTAAAGTTGGTTGGTACATTAGATATAGTTTTCCTTTTCATACTAATGAAATGGCCTGTTTGCTTGTGACAGAGGGTACACAGAAGAAACCTTCTATTAATCAGACAGCCCGTCAATGGTCCGACGGCGATTTCAAGCGACCAAACATCCAAAATGTCAGCGTGTATTGTGATGGAGAAAATTATCTTGAGACCACTGAGCTCACTTTAACTCACCATTTTACTATAAGTAGAATTTAATTGGCCTGAGCCTCAGGGACATTTGCTGTTTGTGTCTGCCTCCAGAATACGTCAACATTCACACTGGAGAGAGATGAAGAGGGCGAGGTCATGATGGAAGATGGGCGCAGTCGCTGCCCCTTTAATCCAGAGTATAAATCAACTGCCATCATTGTTGGTATGTATTAATGCGCACTTATATGAATGGCTTCCTTTTAGACGGGGAAAGCGGGCGCAGCTGTTTCTGAAACTATTTTGATGGCAACTCCATCTTTGATTCAGTAATGAGTCATGATGTGCCTGCTAATGTTGTTTGTCTGCGTCAGACTCTCTGATAAATAGCCAGACAGCAGCAGACATTGTTTTTGTTCAACTTCTTTAACAAGCAATTAGTAAATAATTGAACTGGATATGAAGAGGAGAAATGATTTGTCTATTCTCACTCAGACTGTTATATGCTAACATTTCACTTTATTACCGACTTCAGCTCCAGCCTGTTATTATTTCTTTGTCATGTGTTATTTTTATTGATTCCAAATTCAGTTCAATCTTTCTCTTCCTTTGTTCTCCTCCAGATGGTGAATTATATACTGGTACTGTTAGTAACTTTCAAGGGAATGAACCAGTCATTTACAAGAGTTTGGGTCAGGGAACTGCTCTGAAGACAGAGAATTCCTTAAAATGGCTGCAAGGTAAACTCCCATGTGTTTTTCCTTCCACAAATCTTCCATTATGTACCGACCACTGCAGATAAGCTCCAAAAAGCAGCGATCATTAGCGAGGCACATTCACTAATGCATGCAGACGGAGAGCAAAGACAAGCGCTTGTAGATTGCGGGAGCCCAGCCTATCAGCCGTTGCACATGCACATCAAAACAACCTCATCCGGCTGCCACTGCTTTCGCCAGAGTAAGCTGCACTTTGCGCACAATTAAGACTCCTCTTGTCTTCTGATCTTTAGGTAATTCATGCAGACTGCTCCTGATGAGGCATCTGAGTACAATTATAAAGAGGATTCTGTTTCCTCTTCCCTTGCAGGATTGTATCACAGCTTGTTGGTGCAGACACTGACTTTTTCCAAATTTATCATGGCAGAAAAAAGTGTGTGGGGGGGGAGTTTCCCTGTGTCGATTATAAAGGTGCAACGCAGCTGTCTAACCACACGTTTGCTTTTGTGTTTTTCTATCTCTAACAGATCCCGTCTTTGTTGGGTCAGCTTACATCGAGGAGAGTCAGCCTATAGGCAACTCTGTGGGCGACGACGACAAGATTTACTTCTTCTTTAGTGAGGCGGGAAAAGAATTTGACTTCTTTGACAACACCATAGTGTCGAGGATTGCTCGCGTGTGTAAGGTAATGTACACGGGTAAGGGTGAGGCGATTACACAAAATGATCACGCAAAAGTATGAGGCACAGCAGGGCTCAAGCTTCCTGTCCTTAATCCTGGCACAATTGCCTCAAAACAAGATGGGACACTCCCATGTCAGAGCACATTAGGTAACATTAACTGTATATTATGCCTGAGTAATTGCAATGGAAACATGTCACTGGTGCATTTAAACTTTTCTCTATTTAACTGTACAGGCATGTTTTCAGCAGATATAGTTTCCCCTTGCCTGAATCATTGCCTCGTCTCAGGCTCCCTCCCTCCCCTTTCTCTGCAATGTCATATCCCACTCTCCTTCCATCTCCCTCACAATGTCAGCTGCACTCGTCCATCCCTCCAGCTCCTTGCCGTTCCTCCGCCAGCCCTTTGAGCTTTGCAGGCATTATTAGTATTCAAGAGTGCTTCACAGCAATATGAAATGCTTCTTCCACCCTACTATATGGCCTGTTTTCTTGCATGCAAACTGTAGCAACTGCAGAATTCACTGGGATCATTTAAACCATTGACGTCATTCCTCCTTCGTCCGCTTCTCTCCTCGAGAGTTCAGTTTGGTTGATCAGCCTGGGTAATCAGCCACAGACTCCATTCCCTTTCACCTGTCGTCAGATCAGTTAAAAGGCTATGAAGCTGCATGATATACATGCACTCAGCGTCCCTACCTGACTGATGTCTCTTGTTCATGGAGGCAGTAATGTGAGTAATCGTGGGGACAGCATGTAATCTTAAGTGACAGCTTAATGACTTAGTCCTACTAGGCTCTGGAACTCGGTGCGGCGACACCTCGTGCTGCCGGCAGAGCACCTCCTGGGTTCTATATATGGAAATCATTGACAGAAGTGCCCCCAGACTGTGGCAACTTGCTGCAGATGAACTGTGCAATAGAGACAGAAGAATAGCTTTCTCTGCTCTGTAAAGCACCATTATTTCACAGGAATGCAGCAGCTCCCTTTTCACTTTCTGACGTCTTTTCAGTAGAAGCTCTTCTATAGCAATATGGTAGTGCTGCTTGTGGTTTATTACCCATTTTACAGGGTAAATAATGCATCAATACGTGATTTGCATTTTCTTTTTTCTTTCTTTTTTTTGTATCTTAGGTGGCCCAATTATTTACAGCGCCACATTTTTACTTTAGTTCCTCTCCCTTTTTTTTTTTTTTAAAGGCCATCTTTCCTTAAAGTCAACTTACTTCTGATTGGCTGCCCTTCCCAAACAGATGTTTGAATAGCAGATGGGTGGAGCTTCTGCGGCTGAGATGACCACATTAGGGGCATCCACTCGCGTCAAGATTGAGGAGTCTAAAGTCTGAGCCAGTGATTCACAGGGATTACTTGTATAGCCGCTGACCTGAAAATGGCGGCTATGTTTATGCTGTCCAACAGTATAAATAAAGAAATATAGGACCACTTAAAGCATGTTTTAAAAAGAGGAAAAATCCTTGTTTCTTGGCGTCTTGGCTTCACTAAAGGCCTTGCCAGCTATTTGCAGTCATGTTTCCAATGCAAAATATTTATGCATGTACAAACAACTATTGCTAGATTCCTAACCTAAGATGACAGATTTACACTTGTTTTTTTGCAGGAGACCTCTGAGATAATGAAGTTCTCTGAAATGGTCATTCACTCTGAATATAAAAATATTTTGTACATGTTCAGATTTGAGGTATAAGACTCAATATTTGATTGGAAATTGTGTCACTGTGGCATATGAGGGTTTAATTACCTCTGTGAGCTGTGTGTGAACTGCATAGGTGAGCAGTGATCTCGGCGGCCACAGTGTAAAACACGCTCCCTGTTGTTTTGAGAATGATAGTAAGCAGCTGTTCCTTTCACCATGTGTAGTATCCCTGCCTCTCCCATGACCCCATAGGAAGGTGCACCTCACAGTTGGAAGTGTCTTTAGTAGAGAAAATCTAAGACTAAATCAAGACCGGCACAAAAATTCCCACTTTTTTTTTTCTTTTCTTTTTTTATGTCAGTGTATCAAATATAAATGTGTGTCTTGTGTGCTCCTCTGCTGAGGAGTGAGTGCTAAACTCAGATTAAGTAAAGCTGAGGTATGAAGACCCCTCCCTTTTGGCAGGCTCCAAATCTAATGCACTTTTGCAAACTGTCAGAAAACACACACTCCCTTTTCTTTCTGTGTCAGGCCAAGTCCTGATATGTTGGTATGCGGTTTTATTTAATATATCAAAACCATGTTGCGTGTCATAGTTTATCTTGACGGACACTTAGAAAAAGAGAGTATGTTTCTTGTTAGATAAGATTAATTTAATGGTATTCTAACTACTGTTTCTTTACTTACATTTTCCAAATAATTCTACTTATTCTACTACTTTTTTCCTTCTCCCAGTCTTTCCGATCTGCCCCCGCTCCCTTCTTGCCCTCCTCCTTTCTTTTGTTTATTCAGGTGTGCGCTCTGAAGGGCTGTGAAAAGTGGGCATGTTATAAATACTGCATGGCGCAATTTTCTTTACCTCGTGATCTATTACATCTCAGGTTGATGAGAATCTTGGATGTAATAAATACTATGAGAGTCGGCTAATGCCGCACAAGGAAGCGGGTTTATTTTCAGAGGGCAGCTATCAGAGGGGAGTGGTCGATGCGATTGTACAAGCTGTGCATCGGAGCACGGCAACAATAGCAGTGGACAGCTGAGAGAGCAGGAATGTGGTCTCCTCATTATGTGGACGGGCTACTACCTCAGCTTAGTAATTGGCTCCCAGGCCCTACATCATTCCCACGAGGGTGGCTTCACCTCACTCTTGAGCAATGTGATTGTTTGTGCGTGTGACAGCACATGGAGGAGGAAACGGAGGTAGTTATAGTTTTGCACTTTATTACCTCCTCACTCCTTGTGTGGTTATTTAGGAGTTGTTCTGGGTTTGGGAGGCCATGCTGACGGGAACATTTGGATTTGAGGGAGGAAAGCTGTCTTGAGCATGGGCGAGGTCTCTTGTTTTCGGTCCTGCTCTTCCTCCCCTTCCTCCTAGTCGTGCTCCTCTAGTGTTTTCAAGCTTGCTCGCTGTATTTGGGAGGAGTTCCTTTTGGTGTGTGTTTACAAGCACTTTGATAATTGCTAGTCCTAGAAAACTCTGATAAGTATTTATGGGAATATTTTGCGACAGCTTGAAAGAAGAGCAAACGCCTTGTCTGTGAGCTGCAGGTGAAGTCAGGCATGAAGGACTGATCTTTATTCCAAAGCTGTAATTAATAACTAACCATTGTTTGTTTTTCTATTTCGCTATGCTCTCTCCTTCAAAGGGGAGCTGATATTTTATGCTGTGGCATCTTTTATGCAGAGCAGTTTTTCTTGTTTTCTCTGTGTTGCATATTTTATTGTTAAAATGCTTTAAAAAAATAAATAAAAAGGAGGGTCATGAGCATCTTCCGTTTCTCAACAGCACCCTCTGAAGCAAAGGGGATGGATTGCAACTGCGATGCAAAACATGGGCTCCAAAGTAATGTGTGCCTTTTCAAGGAGCTCGTACATTGCAACATATTTTAAGTCCCTTCAGTAATTTCACTGGAATGTTTGGCCTTCATGATCTGACAGTTTGGGGCTGTTTTCACTCATCTAGGGAACTTAATGCAGTTTGCTCTTAGCTTTTAAATGATTTATAAAAGTTTTTCTAGGGAAAGTTTTTGTGGTTCATATAGAACATTGTTTGCTATCTGGTTTATTTGCTTTTTCATGCTTCTGACAGCAAATTTAAAATCCACTTGAGCTCTTAGGTGTACTCGGGCCGGGTTCTGTAAGGCTCCTGGTCCAGAGCTGACTCAAAGCCCATGGTGTCCTCCCTTCCTGCCACAGCCACAGCCTTTCCAGCTAAAAGCAGATTTTAGTCATAGCAAAGTTGAACTCCCAGATTTTGCCACAGCTCTGACCTTCTGAACTCAACTACTCTGCACTCCTCCTGCTTTTATCGCAAGATATCAGCGTGTTCCATGATTATCTCATGGAGAAAACACATTTGTAAGCCAAATATCCACATGCTCCACCAAACCTGCCTCCACCTTCGTACATTCTTCACACATCAATGATAGAAGCGTCAGTATGACACAGATATTGTAAAAATTAGAAAAGTAAACCCAAACAAACCAGGAGGATTATGTCACAGTCACGTGACACATGGCTGGGAAATGAAGGGATCACTTTGAGTTTGTGGCTTTTTTTTTTTTTTTTTAAACGGGGCGTTTTTTGTCTTTATGTAGTCATCTTGTGTTTTATTTATTTTGTGATGTGTAATTGTAGTTGTGAAATAGATACTTGCGTTATGTAATGATATCCTATCTAACCATGTGCTCATGTTGTCTTTGCTGGTAGCTTTGTGCAGCTGTCTGTTGTTAAAGCCTGGTTAAAGGATTCTAGTGAAATGTTTAAGGTTTCTTCAGATGAACTGGAAATATCAGAATAATGCAGTCATAATTAAGTAATACTTTTTATCAACTCAAGTCCAAAAATAAGTACAGACTTGCACAACCATTACAACCCCTGCCAGAATCTAATGAAAATTATTACAAGGACATAAAGTCCTCTAATAAACTTGCTGAATCCTTTTTTTCAGGGTGATAAAGGGGGTGAGCGAGTCCTGCAAAAAAAGTGGACTACCTTCCTGAAGGCTCAGCTCCTGTGTTCCCTCCCCGATGACGGCTTCCCCTTCAACATTATCCAAGACATGTTTGTCCTGAAGCCCACGGGAGACAGCTGGGAGAGCACAGTGTTCTACGGCGTCTTCACTTCTCAGTGGTACGACTCAAATGCAGGCGATGGTTGAGACTGTGACAGTGCTGTATGTCAGCTGTGACAGTGACATAAATCGCACACACACTGTGATTTGTCACACTGTTACAGTCAAAGTTTACACACAAGCGCGGCTCGCACACACCCCCTCTAGAGCCAGTTTTTATTTAATATCTGCGCTCGCACTTGGCAAGTTGTTGTTTTTCACTTGGCTCCTCTGAATTTAGAGCAGCTGTAATGTGCTTAACTGCTGATACGAGCCAATGTGATCCCAATGGTTAGTTAATGTATCAACAAAATAAAGGTTTTAATAAGGAAATCGCTCATGCGCCAACTCTGCAACTGTTCTCCATTGAGAAACTGCCATTCCAGTTTCTTGAATAAAATGATGGCAGTTGCAAAAAAAATCTCAGAACATGTGGAAAAATGTGTGATGTCGAGTTCTGATAGGTTAACATTTTGGTTCATTGACCAGTTGTTCACAGCTGAAACCCTTACATCCTCATTAATACGTTTACAGGTATAAAGGCGCCTCGGGAAGCTCCGCGGTCTGTGCCTTCACTATGGAGCAGGTGAAAAAAGCCTTCAGCGGGCGCTACAGAGAGGTTAACAGGGAGACACAGCAGTGGTACACCTACAACCACCCTGTACCAGAACCACGGCCTGGGGCGGTGAGTTGTGAAGGCCATATCTTATGACAAACAGTGCAATTCACTGCAACAAGACACAACTTCTTTCTGTGGCTCTTCATTCAGTAACAGATAAATGAGGATAAAGAGCTGTCTTTGTGGTCATGTGTACAAAAGCTATATTAAACACACCAACAAAACATCCCGTCCTACCTGTAGTGTTATTTTAGGCTGTTGAACAAGTCTGACGTGAAGCAGATGTTCCCCATTTATTTTCTTTGTCTGCTGGAAAACAGAAAGTACTATCCTGCTGTGGGTTGTACGAGAGCCAAAGAAATGCCTCAGAGCATAAAAATGGAACATACAGCTTAAGAACATGATTAAACCCATCAGCCAATGTGGTAGTTTTAAGCTCCTTATCTCACTGATTCCATTTTCATTTCTGTGTTCTTAAGTAATTAAAGCCAAGGTCAGATGTAATTCAACACCCCATCGTATTGTATCTATTTTTCAGTACTGCTCAAATAATAAGCAGAGATTCTTTTTTTCTTCTTCTTCTTCTTCTTCTTCTTCTTCTTCTTCTTCTTCTTCTTCTTCTTCTTTTTGTTATTTACTCTCCCCACAGTGCGTGACCAACCACGCCAGGCAAATGGGAATCCAGTCATCCTTGCACATGCCTGATAAAGTGCTCAACTTTGTCAAGGACCATTTCCTGATGGACAGCGCGATCCGCAGCACGCCACTGCTGCTCAAACGCAGCGTACGCTACACTCAGATCGCTGTGCACAAGATCCAGGGCATGGAGAGAGCTTATGATGTGCTCTTTATTGGCACAGGTGGAGCCTAATATATTCTACAAGCATTTCATTTAATAGGAACAAAAACAGAGCAGAAGAAAACTGTCCTCTGAAAACTTTAAATCTCACTTCCGCTTGTTCTGTGTGTCTTCCAGATGATGGAAAACTCCATAAGGCCATCAATGCCAATGACAAGATGCACATTATAGAGGAGATGATTCTGTTCGCTGAGCCGCAGCCAGTGCAGCACATTGAGCTTGATCCTCAAAGGGTAAATCACCACCTTTTAATATACACTGTATATAAAAGATGAACATAGCCACAAGGGTATAACTACTCCCAATTTGTTAAATTTAGTGTCTTTGCTGCCATGTTTTTTGGTTTTTTTGTGACCATATTAGGACAAGAGAGAGTGAGAACTTATCAGCTAACACTGCCAAGCTTTTTTTAGCAGAACTCATCAGTACACAGGTGCTGGTCATTATTGTTGAGTAACATATAAAACAAAAACCTAAAATTTCACTCACCTGAGGTAGACCACAGACTTCATTTGGTTTAGTACCGTATTTTTCATACCATAAGGCGCACTGTCTATGAACGGGTCTGTTTTTATACATAAGGCGCACTAAGTGAAACAAAAAAGTCATAAGTCAAATTTTACTCAACTCATTCTTCTTGCTGTCTCCACTCCTGTACCATTGATTCATTAATGTTGAATTCTCTCGCAGCTGCTCTATTCCCATTTTGTTGCACTATATTAATGACTAACCTCGTATTATGGATGGATTGTCTCAGTTGTTCTCCTGACTGAATTGCCATGCGATTGCATTTGTCACTAACCATCGTGAACCCTCACCTTAACTTTAATCGAGTGGAAAAAAAGTTCGCGTTCATCCTCCAGCTTCACTGTGTTTATGTTATGCTAACTTAGCTGTGTTGCTAGCGATCACATACCACATCATTATATAACAGCTATTCCAACTTCAGTAACCCTAAAAAAGTCACTCCTGTTTAGTTTTCGGTCTTCCTTTATGTTGAAAGTGATAGCAGAGCTGTATGTTTTAATTTTTTCAGAAATCTCTCAGTCAGAACATGCTATATCATGTTTAGGTGGAAACTAGTGAGCTAACTTCACGCTAACTTCTAACTCCGCTAAATGTAATAAATTCTGTTTTCATGGATGCCTGGATGTTAAACTTAATTGTTACACCTGGTAAAGCAGCCACACTGATCTTTTTATTAAAGAGTTTTTAACTCTCAGTGATGCCGCAATATTCGTTTGACTTTGGGGCCTGAACTGGATGGTGTTTTGGACCCAGATTACTCCGCGAGGCTCCTGACTACGGTAGCCATAATGCTCTGACAATCCATCAAGTGGTGCGGCTTCGTAGCTTACCAAAGTCGTACTAAAACATTTTTTGACTGATTTTTGAGTGTCGTGTACTACATAAAATCGATTCAAGGTCAGTAAGGCACACTGGATTATAAGGCGCACTGTCGATTTTTGAGAAAATTAAAGGATTTTAAGTGTGCTTTATAGTGTGTAAAATATGGTACACTTGATCACAAAGTATGATTCTATTAAAAATGCTCCTGAAACACCAAACAGCAGTCGAAAGGTCAAGTTCACTGGCTTCAGTTAACAGAGTTTAACCCTAAGAAACGACCACGAGATACAGACATCTGTTTCCGCATCCACCTGTCAGTCAAAACCACCAGTCAAAGCTAACTTTAAATGGTAAGAATGTTTTAAAGGTTGAGTTTTTAAAAGTTCACCGGCTATCATGTGGACATTAAAACAGCTAGCCCTTCTTTTGGCACTCTTCTCTTGCCTTTATTTTTAGACTCTGAAGGTGTCTTCTTGATCATTAGCAGTGTTTAAAGCAGAAAATAAGGTAAAATTGATTTACTACAACTTAATAACAGCGTAATACAACCATAGTGGCCGTGTTGCTTTGTATCCATTTATAATAAATACTTTATCCCATTTTCGAATGTTTGGTGTTTAATTTACAACTAATGAAAATGTGGAAGAGCGCTCTTTATCAGAGCACAAACTGGCTTCAGACATCTTCTTTCCACAGGGGCCATTCCATTGAGTTTTCCTGTAAGTTATAGCACCGTCTGGAACGGAGTTTATGATCCTCTCTGGCATTTTACCCAGAGCTAAATTTCATTACCTTTTCTCTCTTTATTACATAATGGCCTCTCTCGGGGCGAGCAGCCAAACTGAAATCTTATCTTAGATTATGTAATTCTAATAAAGTCTGAGATACTGTTTGTGAGTGTATTCTTAGCTCCAAATAGGGAAATGAAAGGCTAAGACAGAATGCTTATGGTGTCTGTCTAATACAAGGGCCAGAAAAGCTGGTCTAAATATAGATTGTGTATTTGGGAACAAGGGGGAGCCGTGCGTCAGTATGACAGGAACATTAATGTTGCAAATGCATATCTGATGCACAGATGTAGGTAGTAAAAGTGCTAAAAATGCTCCTCAGATGGTATCAAGAGAACAGCTGGTCAGAACTACTCCATTGTGTAGGTTATGCTTTTCTGTTGTAATTAATTGTTTAGCATTTTTCGTCTTACTCTGCAACCAAAAGCAGAATGTTTTTTACCTTTTATATTGTAATTAGATCTGAAATCAATAAAGTATTCTGATTCTGAAATGCACTCCCCCCTCCCCTCCCCCCTCCCCTCCCCCCTCCTCTACAGGGTCTCTTGTTTGTGTCATCTTACTCTGGCCTGGTGGAGGTTCCTGTAGCTAACTGCTCCAACTACCTGAGCTGTGGTGAGTGTGTGCTGTCCAGAGACCCTTACTGCGCCTGGACCGGACAACTGTGCCAGGATGTCAGGATGGCTCCACCTGACAGGTGAGAACTACAGCACGCAGGAGGAAGACATAATTACACTGTGCCTTTTACTGTTAAAAGCAGGAAAATATGCAAGGATAAAAATTCCTCGTTGCTCAACCTTATGTCTTTTCTACAAATGCGCTTTTTTCTTTGAACGTCTACCCAAACAAACACACAAAATAAGCATTCAAGGATCTGCTTTATGTCCCTTAGTGTTAATTTTAGAGCAACATTAGTCACTGTATTAGTAAGTTTTAAATGAAAGACTTGGCGATTGCGATAGGAGACATTAGTAATGTAATGTAAGGTGCCTGTCATTACATCTGCCTGTTGTTTTTGTTTGGTATGTTTTGCCTCAGCCACTGGCAGCAGGACGTGGAGGAGGCTGACACATCAGCTATTTGCAACAGGACTCTTCCTAACCCCACATCTGCCAGACCAGTAGCTTCTCGTGAGTGTGTTCTTTCTGCACAGTGGCCTTTAATTTAAGTGTGTCTGTCACCTCACGCACAAACAGCATGCACTTAGAGTTCACAAAAACATGTTGCCACTACTGTCAAGTCATGCACATACAGTTGTAAGAAAAAACAAGTTGCATATTCATGCAAGTTGTTTTCCAAATTCCAGTTTTGAATTTAAAGTGCTGTAGTAGGAGCTTCAGGCTTATATTTAATGGATATAAAGACAATTGGCTCAGCATTCAGAAAAAAAAAGATTAAAGATTAAAAATTTGTCTACTAAACCTTGTACCTCAGATACAGGAGAAGCAATAATTTTCATCCTAGATCTGTCTACTTGACGGTATTCATGGGTCTGTAGGAGTTTGTATAACTGCATGGGTTTCCTGGACTTGGGGAAAAGTCATTTGACCACACCCCTAAGCTTGTCTAGTGGGGAGTAGTTCAGGAGTATGGGATATTGGGTCAGCTGTTGCAGGCTTTCCAGTTCCTGTACAACCACAGTGTGAACTTCGTTCTTAATGCCAGCAATACGTCATATTTCTCTTCCCTGTGGGTCGTGGGCTCAAACCGTGTGTATGAAAATCAACACCTCCATGACTGAGACTTTGGTTCACAGCTGTAAAAAGGTGGATTCCCCACTTTGATTGAGAAATTACTTGTAGCCTCAAATAGAGGAGTTGAGGAATTTTAGGGTCTTATTCACAAGTAAGGGGAGAGAGGAGCAGGAAACAGATTGGTGCAACAGTGATACGGGTGCTGTACTAGTCTAAAATGGGGAAGAGAGTCCTGTACATGAAAACAAGGCTGTTGATTTACTAGCCCATCTACATTCCTACCCTCAGGTGATTTGGGGTATCCAACTAGGGTGCCTCCTGGACACCTGCTAGGTGAGGTTTTCTCCGTATGTCCTACTGAGACTAGAGATTAGATCTCTAAGCTGGATTGGGAACACCTCGGTGTCATCCTGTGAAAGCTGGAGGGAGATGGCTAGGGGGAGGTAGGTCTGACCCAAACCCAGATAAGTGGCAGAAAATAGTTGAATGGTGTTGAAACTAAAATGTTTTTGCTGATGTGTTTTATGCACATAAGATTTTAAATGGATTTAAGTAATAGAAATAGAAATATGGTGTTAATTTGTTAGCTTCATGGGTGGCTCTTTATTATTTAAGAAAAGAGCCATGCTTTCTGTTTATATTCTTTGTGTCTTCAAGTCGGTCTAAGCTAAGCTAATGAGCTAAGCTAACTCGTCCTGGCTGTAGCTTAAAATTAATTGATCCCCTCATTCTTGGAATGTGAAACTACACCTTTAAATGAGACTTTCTTAATCATGACTGCCAGGTTTATAAAACCAAGATGAGTTGTGATAGAAACACACAAAATCTCATGTTAGATGTTCTGTCTTATTAAGGATGTTTTGTGTTGGTTTACACAGCATGTGTGTAAATATAGGCTTAGTGGTCTTAACATATGCTATTGCTAATTGCCAGTAATTAATCAAGTGATCATGCAAGTGTTTTTCTTCTTCTTTCCCTATTCAATCCCTACTCAGCTGAGGTCTGAACCAAACTGTGGGTTAAAAGATTCATTACATCCCGAGTCGGTATGCAGTTGGTCAAATTACTGGCATGTTTCAGTGTTTTGAAACAACATTCCTTTTATTTTTGTTTGTAGGTGGCTCCCCTTGTCAGCTCATTACCATCCCAGCCAACACATTTAGAGTCCTGCCATGTAAGCTGCGGTCCAACCTGGCACAGAGGAGGTGGCGTTACAGTGATAGCGCCAGCCAGTTCCTCTATGCTACCCCCGAGGGAAACCTGGTAGTTGTGGCTCAGTCTGAAAGGATTGAGACCTATCAGTGCTGGTCAGAAGAGGAGGGCTTCCACCAGCTGTTGGCCAACTACTGTGTGAGGGCAGAACCACGCCAGGAGAGTACCACTCTGATTGGTCACTCCCGCACGCCTCACATCACGCGCGAGGAGACCATCATCCTGCCTGGCGAGTCTCGCTCTGAGCAGGTCCATACGAAGACGTACTGGAACGAGCTGATTGTGGTGTGCGCTCTGTTGGCCTTCTCCCTCGTGGTGTTCTCCTTGTTCGTCATCTACAGGAACCGTGACCACATGAAGTCCATGCTGAAGCAGGGCGAGTGCCCTAACATGCAGCAGAAGAAGCCACGGATAGTTGGAAAGCCCACAGAGAGTTTACCGCTCAACGGTAACACAATCCCCGTTTCTACTTCAGATCACAAGGGCTACCAGACGTTAAACGACAACTACATCTGCAGCACGCCGACACACGAGTCCTCGCCAGATAACAGCAAGAGCTTCTCCGAGGCCTCCGACAGGCGGCCGCTTAACCTGAAAGAGAGCCACGTGGAATACTCCCCAACCTGCCCTCGGCCCAGAGTGAGGTTAGGCTCTGAGATCAAAGACTCCATCGTCTGAGAGCACAGCATTCATTAAGCGACGACACCCTGTATCTTCACGAGGGATACAGGCCACCGAGCAAAGGAGAGGAGACCCAGACATCCTCCTATATCACAGCACATCTTTTATTTTTGTCATCTTAGTTCTGTGATCAGTGTGGAGGTCATTTTGTTTAGTCATTTCCACTCCGAAGCCAGAGGTCGGTCCGGTTTGCTGTGTAAGGCAGAAAAAAATGAAGCAGCACAATACTCCAGTTTGAGCCAGGATCAGGAACCATGGCAGCTGCTAAGAATAATCCTCACACATTACTTTTTTCTTTCTTGGAGTCATTCTCATGGCCACTAACACCATATGTGGGTGAGCATAAGGCTGGGCAATATGGGGATTAAAAAAAAAATAAAATAAAAAGATAAACAGAAGACCTTTTAGTTCCAATGTTTATCACACTGTCTTTTTAGGTATGCAACAATAAAAAGTTGTCTAGTCTAGATATACATCATATACTATTACAACCACAGACAGCGAATTTAAAAATATTTATATTTTACCCAGCCCTGTTTGAGTAATCTTGCACATTCTCTGCAGAGTGTGGCAGCCACACGTCTGTTATTATGCACACTAGAGCCAAGCTACAGCTACATGGTGACCAAGAGTTCAGGTTTAGAAGTATTATAGTACATGAAATGCATATTCATTAAGATCCACGGATTATGGACACAAGTCATAAACACATTCGTCCCCATTCGCTGAATAAACGTCATGACTGTATGAGGATAAATAAGATGAAAGCTGAAGCGGAGGAGGAGAATACGCCACACCACTGTCTCAATGAAAAAGGACTGCAACGTTAAGATGATAGAATATGTGTAATTATATATGATGCTACGCCTATATGCTGACGTTTACCTCCTGAATGTATGTTGTCGTCGAGAGAAAGTCTGTTTCACTCAAACAAAACTGCACCACAGATGATTTAGAGAGACGGTTGCATTTTCGCTCATCTGAGTCAGCCCTGCTCTTGAGTGTTGACCTGCAGATTCCATGATGGGTTTCTAAATGGACTTAAAAACAGCTGCCCCCTTTTTTTATGTGCGTGTGCGTATTTGTTTGTTTTGTTTTAATGGAACTGAAATTCCAAGTGCAGAGAGGCAAAGGAACAAAAAGAAATGGGGACAGCTTCACCTCCACCATATTTGGGGCAGCACCAAAATCATCGTTGTGCACTGTGCCAAAAAAAGCTAAACAAAAATAACTTGTCTTATCTAAATGCAATAGTGCCATTCTCACATGCCCATCTCATGCTTTGTGTTAGCATTGATCACTGTCAAAGAGCACATGATGACGGACCCAGGGAATGGGTTTCGCTAAAAGTATTGTGGCACTAATAATAAATAAATGTAAAGTGCAAGGTTGGGGATTTCTAAGACTGTTAGCTCATAGCAGACTTTACGGACTGTGTTGGGCAAAATAATTGTTGTAAATTTTAAACCGGGGCCAAATGTTTTACATGGCGATTACGTGCCATGTGGTTGTCAGGTGTGAAAATATTCCAGTTTTCCTTCTGCCATCTCACCGAGACACATCTGAGACGGTTGAGCTCAGCTTGTCTACTTTAAGTGCTAATCAAGCCACTCGAAGTGTAAAACTTACAGAATAAGTAATAACTAATGCTGCTGTAGGGGAAAGGAAATGTTGCGAGTTCTCTTGTCCAGACTACAGCTGTATGATATCATGGCATAGATACACAGACCTTTTGTATTAGCTCAGTTTGACCCCGCCCCCACCAGGTTACAGGTCCCAGACTCGCCACACTCAGTCAGAAGTCGAGGTGACATAAATGTGAAAGCACAAGTAATCAGGGTGTTGAATACTTACAGGTTTGCACATTTCACTAAAATCAGAGCTTGTTCCAAGAAATGCAACTACTGAGGTGGACGGTATGGCTGCTGAGGAAAATTTTTAGAAATCAGTTATTACAGGGACCAGTGCAGCCATCGCAAACACTCTCGCACCCACATTGCTAAGACTTTTGAGACTTAACGAGCAGAATTTTCCAAAGATGCAGAACTCCGATCATGTTGTGTAAATCTGAATGAGAAACATTTACACAGCCGTAAGGACAACATGGCACCACATGTCTTAGACTACAACACCAGGTCACTGTATTGATTATGTAAGCCTACAATATATATTCCAGTGTCATGCAGGATCAAAACTTTGCTTTTTCAAACACTGAGCAGATGAAATGTTATGTAACTGCTACAAGTTGACAAAGTAACTGCACAGCATACTGCGCAACAGTGGTCAGTGTTTCCTTTGTTTCTTAGGTTTTTGTTGTGTGTATATACAGTACCTGTGCTTAATATTGTGTGTTTTTAAGGGACCTTGTGCAAGATGTGTTGTAGAGATAGTCGTGAAACTAGAGAGTGAACACTGGTGATTTTTTTTTTTTTTTTTAATTTTATTTATTTTCTTCTTTTCTAATTACAGATCTCAATGCTGCCTATTAATAAAAACATTTGACCACGCTGTTAGTTTAGCATCTGGACTAGTTTTCACTCAAGCACATCAAAGCAGGACAGAGATGGGGGTTTTTCATGCTACTGATGAAAGTTTGATGAAGAGATCAACATCTTTTTTTTTTCCCCTGTAGTTAATGTGATGCCACAGCTTCCAGTTAGTTACTTTAGCTTAGCATTAAAAGGGAGAAACTCTGTCTGACTTTGTCCAAAGGTAATCTTAGTCTGCCATTATGAAACGTATATAATAAAAAAAAGATGGACCAAGTCTACCCATTGGTTTTAAAGCCCTCTTCTGAAGCCTTGATTTTAACATTTTATAATTTTTGTCTTATTGGTGCATTTAAAACCTTCAAATTGCACCACAGACATAATTAAAAGGTCCACGGCTGTGAACTATGAAACAACTTCAGCGTAGCCAGTCTTTGCATTAGTGGGCTTCACAAAACCTAAAACCTGCGTCAGAGGTGACGAGTATCACAATGATGGTTATCAACTTTCAGTGTTACCGCGAGCTCTCTGCTTCAGGTTCTGCTCATGCAAAAAGGAGCTTTTCACGTGTCATTTGACTTTTCTTCCACTCAAAACGGATCAACTGAGTCACATCTACTCCAGTCACATTATGAGATGAGTGGGCACATCTCTAAAGATTATTATTTTAAAAAATGACAGTAAATTGCTAAACCAGAGCTGCGAAGAAAATGACAGTAATAATCCAAAAGTTGTTAATCTTGTGAATTCATGATCATCACAAAGGTACCAAGTGGCAAAATGAATAAATTCAACTTGCTTTTTTTTTTTTTATTGCAGTTTCAGTGCTGCTGTTTATTTCTCATATGACAGCTGCACATTCAAACTCTGAAACTTGATAGTTTAAAAATGACTTACAATGATTGAGCAGGTTGTTTATATAAAGCATGACTCCCAACAGAAAATCTAGATCAGACATTGAAGCATGTCATAAATGAAATAACAATTTTACCTTGAAACTTTAAACGTATAATTAAGGTTAGGGTTCTATTTTCACCTGAAGTTACCACAGTGATCTAGCCAGGTGAAAGGAGAGCCTCCTTTATGATTCTGAAAACTGATTTTTTTTTTTTTTTTTTTGCTTAAAATGGCTGCGAAACTATAACCTTCATAGCACACCCCTCATTTGAGCAACGAGCATACAGCTAGCAGCTACAAGCGCCCGTGTCAGCATTGATCTGTCATTCAAGCTGCCACTTTCATAAATATCATTTTAATGGAATTTAAACAGGAAAATTACTGAAGTCATTTCTGTAGCAGGCTGTGAACATGATTATTTCTGCCTTGAAGTTGGGAGTTTTGACATGGGGATTAACTTATCTTTGGGTCCAGCCTCAAGTAGCCATTAGACAAATTGTTCTTTAGGTGTCAGCCTAAAAAGTTCCCTTAAAGTATCATTTTTTCACACTTTGGCTTTAGACTATTTATCAAAAGCAGATGCAGTCTTTTCTGCCGTTGGCTTTGCATATGCTGGTATGAGCAGACAAGCTGGTTCCTCCTTTTTTTCAGACTTTGTGCTAAGCTGGGGTATCAGGCTTCTAGCTGTAGTGCATAAATACGAGCGCGATATCAATCTTATCTAACTCTCAGCAAGAAAACAAATATTCTTTTCCAAAACTATTGCAAGCTGAGACCAAGCAAGCAAACCAGAGTATTGCATTTGCCAACAGATGGATAACCAAAATGAAACTGATTCCAGAAGGCTTGTGTTTTTCCATTTCTGCTAACACAGATTTTTCTAAACTATATGATATCTTGGTCGCCTGCTTTGATTTGTTTGGTGGATAACTTCACAGCATAAAATGCCTTTGGATATCACATTGCTCTGCCTTTAGCCACGTGCCACATTGTACACTACCCAGCAGTGACCTCACCAACACAAACATGGTGAATGGCGTGATTGTAGCCCTCAGTGGGCATGTTTAACTCCACAACGCAACACGGGTCAACAGTAGATTTATAAATTCACCTAAGCCACAATTAACTTAACCTGCTAACTAGACTGGGAGCTGCTCAAAATCTTGTACCATTCTGCAGCCTTTGCTCATCTAAGAAAAAAAATGGTACTGTACACATTGGAAGCATCACTTCCTCTGGTGAGGTCCCCTATTTAACAATACACCACCTGATCTCGTTTAGAAATGCTGAAGTTAAAATGCAGTTGGACCTTGCCAATTAATAAGCTTAGATGAAATATATACTGTGTGATAGCTTTGCATATTTATCAATGATGGGCCTTTTCCATAAAAGGCAAACAATAGTACAAAAGTTTTGAGTAGCTCCTTATTAATGCAACATACTGTACTGAATATGAATGTAGCCAACTATATATTTGTAGAACACCTACTGCAGTATATTTTCCTAAAATGGCTTAAGTAGGCAATCCATTGCAACATCTTTTTTAGGATTTTATTTCTTCAGTCATAAATGCAAAGAAACAACATCATACAGTTAATAAACCATTTGTGCTGCATGGTATAGTACGTGAACAAGATGCAAGCACAGCTCCAGATCCTCCATATCAGCTCAGCCATGAGACGGCGACAGCCTCGCCTCAGCGTATCGAACATCATAAGCTTAGTTGACTGAATAACGATTAGACAAATGTGGTCTTGCCTGCATGATTTCTTTTTTTATTATTATTATTATTATTATTATTTGTTGTGTACAAATAACATTGTGAACTGTATTTTTTTGTATCATTGAGATTGTGACTGTTGTTTTTATTATATTGTACATAAAAGGCACTTTATTTTAATTTTTTTTAAATAAATGAATAAATACATGTTTTGACACATGCATGTGGAAGTCCATTTTTGCGCTACAGGTTACGGTTTAGTTTGTGGCTCTTGTGTCATTTTAGATGTGGAAACAAAGCAGTGACTCATAACCTTATACTTTAAATATGCTCTGTTGCACATTTTCTATATAAATGCAACACATAAGATGTTTACACAAATCCTAAAACTAGAGAACTAATCCAGTTTTATGTCTGTGAGAGGCAAAATAATGTGAACCTTGAGGACTGGCATTAAATTTCAAGATGATGTTGGAATCAGATGTTTTCATCAGCAGGACGACGAGCAGGTGCCCATCTTTGTTTAAAGTCTACATGTTAGTGCTACTTGTCAAACCACTTGTTGCACTAGTTCAACTGCTTGGTAACACAAATATCTAGTTAGCCAATCACTTTTTTTTTCCAAGTCAAGTGGCTTTATTGTCATTTCATTTCATTTAGAGTACACAGTGAAGTGAGACAGTGTTCCTCTAAGATCATGGCGCAACATGTAACCAATCAACACAGGACTACATAAAATCCAAGTGTGCAAAAATTGCAAAAAAAACAAATCAAAACAAAAACAGTGCAACACCAGACGGAACAAAACGATGCAGACACAACAGTGCAATAGAAAAGTACAACAAAGACAGCTGGTTGTGCAAAAAGTAACTTGATGTATGAAGGTGTGCGTGTGTATGAGAATGTGCAGATAAGCGAGTGTGGCAGCAAGTCAGTGCATTTAGACACATCAAGGTGGTTAAGATGAGCAACAAAGAATGGGGAAGAAGAGTGATTTAAGTGACTTTGAACATGGTATGGTTTTTGATATCAGCGGGGCTGGCTGTGTATTTTTAAAGCTGCTCATCTACTCAAACTTTTCCCACAAAATCATCTCAAGGATTTACAGAGACTGGTCTGAAAGAGAGAAAGGAAGAGGAGAGGTGAAGAAGAGAATCAAGCAGCACCAGTTTAACAAAATGAGAGATCCCAACCTCTGAGCCTTACTTTAAAGTGATGTCAGTTAAATATGGTGTTTGACACAACAGTATGATGCATTTTTTAATCACATGTAATGATGTCAGCTGTAACCATTTTGGGACACTTTTCATATTAAGGGCCACTTTTAATGAATACATAACAAGGTGTAATGTGTCACGCTATTAAATATGCTATGCTATACAGTTCCTCAAAGATACCCCTGTGAACCCTCAATTATAGGTCTTCCTGCTGTCTCCTCTATCCTCCAGATGCCTTTAGAAACTGAGGCATCCTTTAGCGTAGTGTACCGAGGCTGATTTTCAGGTCACAGACAGGAAGACGGTGGACAGAGAAGGCAGAAATTAGAGAAATATGAGAAGCCTAAAGTATTCAGATCCTGCAACTTGTGCTCTGTATCGCCGACCATCATTTTCACAAAACATCTGCAAACATCCAGGCTGTTTGGATGATTCACAATTTACTGCTTT